CTATTAAGTGTTTAGTGTACTTCTTAGTTTATATATTAGATCCTTAGTACGGTTTCTTTTACAATTTATATTTTTGCTATTGTTGGATGTAACTGGGACCCTGTGTACAAAATTTAATTCCACCTCATGTGACACATGTGATGCGAATGACAATAAAAAAACCTTGAACTTGAACTTAATATTCTAAAGTCAATTCAGTTCAGCTTAATTTACTTACTTAAGTCTATTTTAAATTCATAGTTACTTGTGTGGTCTCTCTTGTTTTGTTTGAACTCTGAGCTGACTCATGAGACTAAATACTGAGTTGGTTTCAGCCAAAATTGATATCCAACAATAACAAACCTCAAATACACTTATACAAAAAAATACCAGCTTACTGTAAGCATGTTTTTATTGACAGTTATGAGATATTTAGATATCTAGTGCATATATACAAACTCAAACAGAAAATGCATACACATCCTAATAAATGGATTACAGCTGTGCTCTGAAAAAATACATGCAGAAATTTTGTCAACTTTACTCATCCCATGTCATCCACAACACCTTTATGCAACTCTGCATCTCCGAGGAGCACAGCTCTGTCAACAGGCTGTCTACAAGACATCTACAGCAGCTAATGTAATCTGAAATGCAATCTGGCCTGAGTGGGCTGCAGGCTGCTACAGCAGTTCTACACAAATACACCTACACAGACGTAAGACAGAAAACACAGGAAACTAACAGTGTGCGTGATGGATCCACATCAGATATATAGTATATGGTGGACCACAGATCCATGAGAGTCAGCGGCTTTAATGCAAACTAAGCGCTGTGAAGGCGATCAAGGGGCTTCCCCTCACCAATGTAGGTTCCTTTGTATGTGCTTTCATGTCTTTGTGTTCAACATATTTGCAAGTAAGAAATAAACTTGAGTCCCTAAACACTGTGTATATGAATAAATATGTGAAAATGTATGCCACCTTGATTTCAGTTAATCGTTATTAGTTGGTAGCTGTGTCAACAGATGCGTGAAGAAATTTTCATGTAAGCAAAAAAAACCGAAAGGAACACAGAATGATGAATGATTGCTTAGAATGATGATGAGAAAGATGCAGCCAAGAAAGCCAGAAGAATGATATCAGTTGTTCACTGTAGAAACCAGATGAGAGAGATTGTTTATAGGAGGAGAGGAATTTGTCAACAATGGCAATGAGAGTGCCTGAATGAGCATGATAAACCTATCCTTAAGTTCTTAAATGCCTAAATGTCCATAATGTTTTGCAGCATGTGGCACGGGGGCTGCACAGCTGGAGAAAGAACAGCTCTGTCTGCAGAGAGTGGTGAAGGCTGCACAGAAGACTGTTGGAGTCAGCCTCCCCACCATCACAGACATTTACACCTCCACATGCAGGAAGAGGACCACCTGCATCACGAAGGACCCCACTCACCCAGCACACACACTTTTTGCCCTGCTCCCCTCAGGAAGGAGGTTGCAGAACATTAAGTGTAGAACCACTAGACTGAGGAACAGCTTCTACCCTGAAGCTGTTAGACTTATAAATCCCTAAACGAAAAATCACTGTAATGACACTTTAATTGGAGATCTGTCACTTTATCCATGCTGCTGATTTCTTACCCATAAGCTGCTTTATTCATACCCATCTACTCACTACAGACTCGTGTTCAGGCTGCTGTTTAATACACATTATTATATTGTATTATTATTGTTTAGTGTATATCTTAGATCCTTGTATATTGTTTCTTTTTTAATAGTATATATTTTTGCTATTTTGGGGTGTAACTGGGACCTTGAATACATAATTTCATTCCACCTCATGTATCACATGTGATGCGAATGACAATAAAGTCATCTTGAACCTTGAATGTTGTATGGCTCACCTGCATTTAATTTCATCTTCTGCATTATAATTTACTTGTTTAATTCCAAGGAGACATAATGTCACAATATTAAAACTAGCTGTACAAATATTCGAATTTGCTTTGTACTACAAAAACAATTCTAAACCTTCATGGCGTTCAGATGTTATAGAGCATGATACTGGAATTAATTTAAGAGGCCAAGTAAGATAATCCCTTAACATCTACTAAAGCAACATCATCGGTGTTCAACTGTCCCCCTCTTCCTTTGCATGTGAACAGCTGTCAATATCAAACTGGTTGATCCACTAAAAGAAGGTGCTGCTTATAAGACTGAGTTTGTTGCAGATCCTCAGACTGAAGAAGTATTTTGGATAAAAGACAAAACATTTCAACAAAGAATAATCCATCCAGAGGACCGGACTCACCCTTATTTGATGTATCTACCTGGATTATTGAGCATGCGTCAGGACAGTGACCGCATTATTTCCACAACCAGACTAAACACATGACTAAAAGGTATTTTTAATTTTACCTTTTAAAACTTTTCTTTAAGACCTAAAGAAGAAGTATTATTTAAAACAACTAAAGTGATCCCATGTGTAACATAAAGCTAATTTATAATTGTGCATTTGTGTGTGAGAGTGTAATAAAGTGGTAAAGAAAAGCAACCTTCACCAAGGTTCAGACATTTTTCATGATCACGTAAGACATCTGATATTATTATGAGCCTCTCCAATTATTTTGCCCTTTATTTTTAGCCGAGGCAAATGGCAATTTATCACACTTCAACAAATAAATTTGTTACTGGTACAGGTAACAGACAGGGGGTAAGACGCAGAATGCCATGAGTTACACAGCGGTGCAAGTCCTTTCTTTATTACAAAATGAATCTGCTTCTAAAATGTGTCCAGTGTTGGCTAACGCCACCATTCACTGTTTATTCAAGTGATAATTTCATAAGTGAATGAGCCCTGAGATGCACTGACCCCAATTTGCCAGCAACAAAAAATTGCATATATAATGATGAGTGTGTACTTTCAGCTGTCACATCACTTTTATTCAAGCAAATGTGCTAATCCCCTATTATTACAGCTAGGGTGGTGGTGATGGAAGAGGTGCAGCCTCAGTTGAAGTACAAAGCAAAATGGCTTCCTCCACAAAATATATGTCTGCAATAACCATGTCAGTAGACAAAAATTTGTACAACTCCAATAGTGAATAATAAAAATTGAAGAGCATGTACTTAAAACAAGTAACAAGCTTCATTTCATGTCTAGAGGTAGACAGTCTAACCAGCCTAAAGAGTCTAATGATTCTGAACTAATGTTCAGAGCTAAAAAAAAAAAAAAAAATGTAAGAGTGACAAAAATTAACTGTCTGGTGAAATGGATTGCAGTGAACTGGAGCTTTTTTTTTTTTTTTTTACTTATTTCTTGTTATTTATCATAATTAATATAATTGTCACCATCATTATTATACATTTATTTTAAATTGCACCTTTAGTTTGCACTCATCTGTGATTGTACTAAAAACATTTTTGTTGATTAGATACGTTTATTTATTGATTCAGCTATCAACCATAACTTCTTATGGTTGAGCTCAAACCCTTTGCTTATTGGGCCAAATACTGTTATTTGATAAACTGTCATTTTTAATGTGATTAATCAAGATTATTAATTTATAAGGCCATTAATGAACTTGAATATTTTTTATCTCATCCCAGCCATAAAATAAATAAATGGTAAATAGACTGCACTTAGCGATTTTTTTAATCTTATATTATATTTTGTTTCTACTTTCTACCTTATACTCAAAGCACTTTACACTACAATCTGTGTCCTCATTAACCCATTCACACAGCACTCTACTAGATCTCTACAAAAAATAATCAGTGCTTTGTCACATTCATACTCTGATGGGACACACATCGGAGGCAATGAGGGGTTCAGTGTCTTGCCCAGGGACACTTCAACATGTGACTGCTGGTGGAATCGAACTCCCAACTCTTACATTGGAGGACGACTGCTCTAAACACTCGGCCACAGTCACCCAGAGGCCAATAAAAAAATAACAATAATTATAAATATATATCACAGGGGATCGGTACCCTGAAGACCCGAGATAAGTGAAAAACCGTGAAGTACAGTAATACAAGTAGTAAGTAGTATCAGAATCAGAATATATATATATATATATATATATATATATATATATATATATATATACACATTCAGTACATACATAATTTTTTTTCATTTTTCAAACACAGAGCTCAAGCTGCAAAAAGATTTTCAGACACATTGTCTGTGGAATCAACCATACCTATTTATTACATTCGATTAAAAATGCTATTAATAACATCTTATTACATCCTTTAATGAGCTCTGCAGGTGTTTCTTTGAAACCCCAGGCATCGGTAATTGAAATGGCAGGGATAGCAGCTATAATCTAACACAGTAGCATTCTAATAAATAATAGAGACAAATGGTTGTAAAGTCATAGCCCATCTTTCAAGGAGATGGGTGCAGGTCTCGGATTTGAGTTAATATGACAGGAAATAAATAAATGTATTTAGGCATTCAATTTCAAACTCCATCCAACACAAGGAGAGCTGTAACTAATAAAAAAAAAAAAACTGTAAGAAAACAAACATATAAATACACATTTCTGCTGGGCTGCATTTTTACTTTTGGACTGGCTTCTAAATGAATTGCGTCTTTCAACAAAATGTTTAACAACTGAAGCCCAATCGATTTGTGCACGGATCTGAGTGTTGCATACTGATAGGTGAACGTTACAAAGGCTGTGCTGCCAGGAGCTTAATTCACGTCTTTACAATCAGCAAGAGTTGAGGCAGCAGGGTACTGATAAGAATACCTCAGTCTGCTGGAAGCATGAGATGGACAGTTAATGCTTGAACAACAAAGAACTTGCGATAAGAAGAGTGAAACTGTTTAAAATGGTACAGGACAACAAATGAAACAGGAAAAGAGACTCATTTAATCTAACACATAATCTCAGTCTAAGGGAAATCATACATATTACACATGCAGAAACACAACATATTATTCACATTTGGCATAGAAGCCCAATCATTTCAGTGAATGCTAAAAGAGAGAGAGGGTTATGAGTCCTACCTGTGACCTCCAGCTTATCCCCGTTGACCCCACACTTGAGGTAAAGGCGCCCCCTCCGTTCAGTGTGATCAGTTCCACAGAGGCTCGGCACGTTCATAACACACTGATTATGAACATTCATATCGCAGGCTGGTGGGACACAGAGAGAAGGCAAAGAGGTATAAAACAGGGAGGTTTTAAGCATGTATTGCAAATAAAAAAACTGAAGTAAGACATTTTTAATTATGTTTAATATGATTGCTGTAAATTTCCCAATAAGTATCAAGCAGAATGAAGCTGGTTTGACTGTTTAAAGTCCAACACCCACCATTTTTTCTTATTACATATCCAGTAAAATATAACAGACATGACAAATAAATACCTATATTCTGTGGCCAACTTTGGCATGTAACGCAAACTGGTTAGCAGCTTTTGTGAGATTTCAAGCTGAAAAGTGAAAACGGCGTACTCATCAACAGTTGTGAGGAAACGGAAAGTTTGTGAGTAAGACACTTGGTCATTTTAATTTGTTTCAAAACTATGGACTTCAAACTATAATCCAGTTTTTAAATTGTGTCAATAGGCCACGTATGTGAAGCATGTTGGAGCGGGAGGCAGCAGCAAAGACGGGCAGTCTCATAGAGAGAACAACCCCTACCCTCCTCACTATCACCCCCCACCCCTGCAAAACAAACAATCAAGCTCAAAGTTATTTGTCAAGTGACAAAAAATCTACAAGAAGAAGAAAAACGCAGAAGTTTAAGGAAGTTCAGCAGCGATACAGAGAGTGGGAGCGAGTCATGACAGCTGAGAGATTTGTGATATTTAGCATGTTTGGATTTTATAGTTAGGGTGTAGTGTAGCGTGTTTAGTGCTTAGTTTAGTCAATTTTAGCGTGTTTGAGTCAACAATGTGGAGATCTTTGAACATGAAGCTGGAGCTTCCGTTTGAGGTGGAGCATGATGGAGCCGTGAACCCAGAACTGGACGAAACTGCAGAGTCACGACCTTTTCAGGCAGAGATGAAAAAAACAGAGTATGAGACAGAGCGAGGACTTTGATGAGGAAGTGGGGAGAGTCATTATTTGTTGTAGAAGAAGAAAGAGGGGAAGAAGGCACCAAGCACCACTCTGAGGTCTGCAGAGCTTTATCAAGCTGGGAAGGTACTTCCTGTACCAACGAGTCTTCTCGAGGAGTTGCCATCATGGTGTCTCATGTACGGAACAGGCCCTCCTTGTTGAGCAACAATTTCACAACAAACAGTTCTACTTTATTTTTCATCACTAGCAAATAAGCTATCATACCATCTAAATCACTTGAAATTTCTCCATTGCAATTGTTCTTCCTAGCATATGCCTCCATCTTTAATACACACTCCTGCCTGTGTCTGGTCCCTGGAGTGAATAGCCTTCAATAATCATTGGCCATGTTCTCGGGTGTTTCTGTGACTGGTTTGTTTAAGGTTTTTTAATAGTTGCATGGCCCAAATGCAAAAAAAATAAATAAAATAAAATAAAAATAAAAT